TTTCCAAAGTGTTATTACTTCTAAATTTTGAGTGTTCGACTTTGCAACATTAGTGTACTGGTAACACAATTCTGTCTTATGGTTTTAACTATTGCATTAAAAGAAACCACCAAACTGTTTGAAGTGTGCGCAAGCACTACTCATAATGGTAGATCCCAAAAGGGGCTGAATAACTGGAATGGCCAGGACCAGAATCTCTCTTGTTATAAAGTAGAAATGAAGCTCACCTACTAATACACAATCCAGATGCAGAGCTAAACTTGTTAACATGAGAGAGATTTGTACTGGGACTTTTATTCGGGTGCATCTCTAATACAAAAGAAATCTGTTTTTTTGTTACAGGTTGAACCTGTCTAGTCAGGCAGTCTCTGAGGCTACATCTACTGCAGAAGTATTTTGGGATACCTCTGGCAGAAGACTGTAAGTTACACAAACTTAGACTCCCTATAGATTGATTCTCTCCTCTGAATTTGGCCCCAAAGAGTTTTTGGTCCACTGCTGTGTTTTTATCTCTGACATTTTCACAACCAAAATAAAAATGTTACATCTATAGTAATTAAATCTGAAAATCTATGCAGAAATCTGTTCACCGGTACCAGTATCAAGAAAAAATGCAAAGTAAGACTTGCCTGTTTTGGCTGCCAATGGACTGCCTTCGCCTACATGATAAGATTTCTTGATTCAGCAACCTGGGAAAAAGTGTATTTTTGTAAGTGTTATTGGAACAGATCACTGTCTGAGAGAAGACCTCTTTGGTAAATCATCACAAAGGTGAACAGGAGACTGTGATGAGCTAAGCCAGCCTATTCTGCTAGCCAGAGTCCGCTTTACATGGGCTTCCTGGGTCAGGCTCACAAGCCTCTTCCATCCAAGCACACAGACAGGACCAAAATCAGCTGCAGAATGATACAGACACTGAGATAAGCTCTGGGAAGTCTCAGTTTAAGGGACTTGCCCATGGTGTTCACCTCCCTTGGAGTACAAAGCCAGCATTACATTAAATTGACCTCTTCCCTCAATGTGGATGAAGGTATGCACAACGTCCTGCCCCTCCATTTATAAATTATATAAACTGGGAAATATTATTAATGAGAGTTTATAACTACAAAAAGTTATATGGAAATGCAAATTGAACAAATCAGATTACTAAGAAAATAATGCAAAGCATGCAATCTAAGACAGACTCACTAAAGAAATCGGTTATAAACAGTAATTCCTCACCCTAGATATTGTTTTAGGTAGAATCTTTCACAGGCAAGAGGTGTCATTCTAGCCTGGGTCCAGCAATTCTCCCCCCACACACACACACCTCGGTCCAAGTCTTTTTGTTTCCAAGTATCTCTTTGTGGGGAGATAGAGAAGAAAACTGAAGACCATGATTGTTTTTCTCCACAACCTGAGAGAGAATTTCCATTAGGTGGGACTCTTTTGTGTGATCCCCCCACCTACCAGAGGAACAGTTCAACTGTACAGGATGGAGGTTAGTATCTGGTGACTAGGTCTCCTGACACTGTAACGTCACAGTGTTCATGAGTCAGTGGCAGGATAGAGGAAGGCCAAGCTTTTTCAGTCCATTGTCCTCATGAAAGGCCATCAGCCCAGTCTTCCTTTTCCATTGTTGTACCTGAAGTGTTAGCAGTGCATGTCACCCAAAGTAGCATAGTTGTAAAACAGTCAATATTTCTAACTTCAGATACAAATATGATATATGCATATGAATAAGAAATCATATCCAATAAATCAAAACCTTGCCAGAGATACTTTAGTCTATGTCACATTCATATCATAAGCATATTTTATAGAGAATATGGAGAGTAATATCAGAAGGTGCTTTTTTGAAAATAAAGGCAGAGGTGAATCAGTAGACAGGGCATCCCTGCTATACATCCAAGATACATTCCAGAAAAGGTGGACATATAGCGAAATGATGTTACAGCCAAAAGAGAACCTACTGCAGAAGGTTATACAAGAGAAGTTACAGCTATTTGGGCATATCTGCAGAATGAACCATGGGTGAAAAGTTAAGACCCTGGTATTCAGCATAATGGATGGTCCGAATGGGAGTGGTAGACTCCCACAAAGAATGGGTAGATGATATAGTAGATTGGTGCGAAGCTAGTCTACAGAAACTAAGCAACTCTGCACTGGACAGGGAAAAATGGAAGGAAATAGTGAGGGAGGCATTGGACACCAATGGGCTTTGAATCCATGGTTGATGATGATGATGATGATTTTTTTTTTCCTGTGGCTGACTTCTCTTTCCACAAATTGGTCTTTTATTTATTTATTTATTTTGTGCAATGTAAGATCAGGGAATGGGAGGACTTATAACACAACAGTTCCTACATGCGTCAATGATGTTAGTGTGGAACTGACATATACTGGGGCAACATATAGAAGAGATGCCCTGTACACTGATTGCATGAAACTATTTGATGTCAGTGAATAGTAAAAAGATAGAAGAGCAATGAAACAGACCAACGAATATTGGTACATTCACGTGATGCCTGAACAGTGAGAGCTCAGTACTGTACTGTTTAGACAAACTCCTTTTAATTTTCATTTACAGTAAAAAAATACAGGAATTGTTAATAGAGCTCAGTTAATAATAGATTTTACAGTTTGGTGGCCAAAGTAAAAATTCCAGGAAAAAATAGTTTTTGGTTTGACTTGAAAGCCCTTTTTTTAAACCCTTGTTTGTTTAGCTAAATCTAGCTAAATTTCCAAATGAATGGATGTTTCAGTTGAAGATGTCAGCATGAAACATTTTTAATTTTTCAGAAATCAGTTTCTGAACTTATTCATATTTTTTACCAAATTCATGAAAGTTCAAACTGCATTTTCAGGTAATAGGTGTTGATGAAGATTCATGCAACTCTAGTTAGAAGGTGTTTAATTTTCCTGTGGCTAGTCAGAAAAATTATCTACTCATAAAAACATGTAGTGAAAAGAAGGACAGGTAGATAATGTGACTATTTTTGCTGCCTTTGCTCTGCTACATAATGGATTAAAGCAAACTAATATACAAAGGAGTTACAGGATCAGGACCAAGATGTAATTCTGAGTGGACTGTTCGTAGATTCCAAGACCAGAAGGGACCATTGTGATTATCTAGTGTAACCTATTGTAGAACACAGGCTATCGAATTCCGGGAGCAGATCTTTCAGAAAAACATCCAATCTTGATTTTAAAGTTTTCAAGTGACAGAGAATCCATTAGGAACCTTGGTAAAATGTTCCAATGGTTCATTACCCTCCTGTTAGACTCAAAATAAAGTGAAAATCTGAATTTGTCTAACATCAACATCGAACCAGCCACTGCTCATATGATATCTTTCTCTTCTAAACATTTATTCCCCATACACATATAGTCATCCCTTAACCTTTTCTTTGTTAAGCTAGATGGATTTAGCTTCTCAATTCTATCACTATAAAGAATGTTTTCTAATCTTTTAATCACTGTCATGGTTTATCCTCTGAAACCAATTTAACATCATCCTTCTTGAATTGTGGGCACCAGGACTTGTCACAGGATTCCAGCAGTGGTTGCACCGGTGCTAAATCGAATGGTAAAATATGTGTATGCACTCCAGGACTTCATTAGCTTTTTCAGCCAATACTATTACATTCGGAGCTAATGTTCAATTGATTTTTCATCACAACCCCCAAATCTTTTTCACAGTCATTGCATCCAAAAATATTTCTCCATTCTGTAAGTATAGCCTACACTCTTATTCACAGATGTATATATTTATATTTAGCTGTATTAAAACACAGATTATTTGCTTAGTAAACTGTATGCAAGCAATCTGAATCAGTGAGCTGTCTTCTTTGATACTTGCCACTCCCCCAATTTTTGTGTCATCTGAAGTCTTTCAATTATGAGTTTTATATTTCTGTCCAGGTCATGGATACAGGAAATAAATAGTATAAGGATAAGACCAATTCCTGAAGGACCCTACTGAACACATACCTGTCCAATGATGGTTCTCTGGTCTCAAAATATAACTGTGAAAAATCACGTCACCAGTTTTAATTTTTTTTTTAACATGTGCAATGTTAAGATTATATTATTCTAGATTTTTAATCAAATGGCATGTTACCAAAACGTGTCACATGTTACCAAACGTTTTACCAAAACAAACCTCTTACAGAAGTCTATTACATCAACACTCTTACCTACTAAACTAGCAATCACATACATTTGGACAGGATCTATTTTCCATAAATGCACGTTGATCTGTATTTAATGATATTTCCCTCCTTTAGCCTTTTTACTAATCAAGTCCCATATTAGCTGCTTCATTACCTTGTTGAAGATCGATAGCAGGCTGACAAGCAAATAATTACCCAAACCATCTTCTTATCCTTTTAAAAAAAATGGCACATTAGCTTTCTCCCAGTCTTCTGGAACTTCCCCAGTGTGCCAAGAGTGATTGATAACCAACATCAGCAATCCAGCAAGCTTCTCTGCCAGCTCTTTTAAAACGCTGGGTTGCAAGTTATCTGGATCTGCTGATTCAGAAAATGTTGATCTTTAGTAGCCTTTGTTTAACATCATGTAGAGACACTAGTGGAACAGAAACAGTGTGATCCTCGCCATGTGATTAAACTGGATCATCTATTTTTTTCCTCAGATATAGAACAGAAATGGGTGTGTCTGGACTGGCAAGATTTTGCGCAAAAGCACTTGCTTTTGCACAAAAACTTGCCAGCTGTCTACACTGGCTGCTTGAATTTGCACAAGAGCACTGACTTTGTAATGTACAAAATCAGTGCTTCTTGCGCAAATACTTTCCCGCTCCCACTTGGGAAAAAGCCCTCTTGTGCAAGAATACTTGTGCAAGAGGGCCAGTGTAGACAGGGAAGAACTGTTTTGCTCAAAAAATCCCCGATGGCTAAAATGGCGATCGGGGCTTTCTTCCACAAAATCACATCTAGAGTGGTCATGGATGGTTTTGCGCAAAAGCATCCATGCCAATCTAGATGCACTTTTGCAGAAATACTTTTAACGGAAAAGCTTTTCTGTTAAAAGTATTTCCGCAAAATCATGCCAGCCTAGACGCAGCCAAACATGTATTTAACTCTTCTGATTTTTTCTGCATTATTATTGATGATTCTACCATTGCCATCTAGTAACAGACCAACACCATTGTCAGGATTCCTTTAGTTCCTAATTTATTTTAAAAATTCCTCCTTTTTGTACTTAATTCTGCTGCCTATAGATTTTTTGGATATTCCTTGGCTTCTCTTATCCATTTTCTACAATTCTTATTTTTTTATATTCATTAATATCAATTTTCCAATTCTCCCATCAATTACACATTATTTTGTTTGTTTTTTTATATCTATCTTCATTTCCTCTTTATACCAGATTTCTGTGTGTGTTTGTTTTTAAACAGCACAGACTTCTTCCTCAGCTGTGGGATTGAGGCACTTTGGACATATAATAAGGAGTTCTTAAATGATTCTCTATCATCATTCATATTTTTGGTTAAATTCTTCCTCTTAGCTAATTTGGTTCATAATTGTTTACCGCTCTGGACAATAATAGTGCTCTACAGATATGTGTGTAAATAATCAATTAATCTTAATGTTATTCTGCTTATACATTATAAATGTCATCAAGATATGATGACTTGTACCTAAGCTACCTATTAACTCCTATTTCTGTGATTGGGTCCTCTTTCATCTGTAAGAATTCACCTATATTGGCTGCAACACTTTTGAGAACTATTTCAAGGATGTTTTAATAGTATAAGCATGAGAACTCCGGTATATGTTTCTTGGATTGAGGCTCCCTTGATCAAACAGATTTTGTTCCCAACACACACTTGTAGGAATGGACATACCAGTTGAGACAAAATGATATTTGAGCTTAATTGTCACCCAGAACTCAACCTGTACCTTGAGTTCTTTTTGGTCATATTTCTCATTGTTTCATTTTGGAAACAACTGGAAGTAGAAATCCCAAACCCAGCCAGAATACATGTTTTGGGGAGATCTTCATTTTGCTTTTGTAGAGGAGAAGTTTTAATTCAAATCCAAACTAGTAGGTGCTTTTTAAAAGTGACTTTCCGAGCTTCTCCAGCCACTTGTACTGTAAGACAATTTATGATAGGCTGAAGCATCTATGCACACTTTTGGATATAGTATAAATTATAATAACTTTAGTATTGAATTATAAATTGGCTATATTTATTCTATCAATAAATGTCATTAATCTGAATAATTGGATTTGCAGTGTTCTATGTCATTTGTCTCATTAATCTAGATTTGCTCTACCAGAATTAATTAGCTGTTTATAAGTCAAAACTTTGCTTTTGTCCAACTTTGACCTTGCTTAGCTGCCTTTTTTTTCCCTTCCTTATTTATTTAGTAACAGTACACATGCAATGAGCAAAAATCTGCAAGGAAAAGTCTCTTTGTAAATGATGATTCTTATCAGGTAGATTATGAAGTTTGTGTGCTGTTTCAGAGTTCTGCATTTCTTATTAGATTCAGAACACCATGGCAACATGCTTCTCCTGCAGATCCCTGTGGAAAAAAACAGAACAGTTAATTGAAGTCCATAGCACACGATTTATTCATGATAAAATATGGTCTGATGTATAAATGTGTTGGTTGGCCTACTTGAGATTCAGCACATCTATATTTTTAGTTTTAGTGATAGAATTCTACAAAGACATGCTTCACTAAGCAAAGGCAATGCCTAATGTATTTTGCTGGGCAAAGTTTTGCTGTATTAGTACCACCATGAAAACTTTCTCTGTTAGAAAAGTGAACTAAAATCCAAAGCCAATAAAACATAAAACCTCATTGCTTAGTGGAAGAAAACTAATTGTACATATAAGTAGTGTAGGATGTATGACCAGCCCAAACAGAAGATCTTTCCTCTGCTCCCATGTAGATCAGACCAAAGCACATTTTTTAGTCATATTGTAGAAACCCCAAACCACTATGAGCACAATCTATGGTTGTTTGTACATACCTGAGAGCAACCAGGGCAAACTTAGCCAAATAACTAACTAGATAATAAGTAGACTAATCCCAAACAGGGTTCCAAACTATATGCCTTATCTGAGGAAAGGCTTGTGGCCTAATTTTAGACCAAAACACATGGCCCTCTGGATCCTCCATGCTACAGAACAAATATGGGATCTAGACACTACTAGCCTCTTCATCAGGAAATTAGTTGGCCTACACAAAGCTATTTTTATTCTCTAACTGGCCCAAACTAATTCAAGAAATACAAGAAGCATCACAGAAAGTGAAGATTTATGCAACTGAGCTATCCCTTCTACCTCAAACCACCACTCTTAGCATTTATAGTTATAGATTCTCCCCCATGTCAGTTGCTGAATGTTTCATCCCAGGATTGGAGTATTTCCCATTTCTCCTTTCACTGCAGCTGATCATGTGGATGCAAGAGGTTCAGGGACCTATCTTACTAATGTCTCCATTTTAAAAGCCCATGTGTGTCTAGCCAGAGATCGGCATTGAATTCTAACGTCCCTTTGAGAGTTTAATAATCCTTGAGTTGGTTTCTATCTTGCTGGCAGCTTAGGTGCCATTTGTCACTCTAAATCCTGCTCCTGACAGGTCCCTTCCTTATATTACTCAGGTGAAGCTAATAGAAATAGAAGAACAGCTAAAGGATATCTGCAGGATAGAATGTTCTCGGTGACTTCAGGACTACATTTGTCATCTAGGGACAAGCCAAGACAGAACCCCCAGGGAGACTCATTTGGTGTCACTGGTCATCTTGCCACGTAGGCAAGGTGGAATCATACAACTTCATACTGTGAGAAGAGGATAAAATATCCCTGATGCAAATTTGGGCATGACTGATGTGAGGGACTAATTTTACCTTTGGGGCAGAGACTGCAAAGCTAAAGAATGTTGAAGAAACAGCCATTGAAGCTATGTTTTTAAAAAAATTAAACAGGCCCCTGGGCTTTTTTAAAGCTACGCAGCAGAGGCTGATCACATTCAGGTTGCCTTCTATTTCACTCTTCCTTCTACTTCCACTACTTCACTCACCTCCCCATATTTCAGTAAGAAAACGTAGGTACAATTTTCAAAAGCTGAACTTTTGTAAACCACAAATCTTCTGTCATAAATTTAGACAGACTAGAAATGTGCTTGAGAATTTGTAGCGATTCATGCCATCTGGCATTTGTCAGCTTTCCCTATTCCCTTCCCCCTGCTAATGCAACACACAGAAACTGGACCTTTCGTATTTAGTTACCGGAAATGTTAAAATGTTTGTGTCTGGAATTTCTTAAAAAATTGTTAAAAAGCCAAAACACTGTAATAGTACAGTGCCTGAGTCTCATGATCCCAAAGCCCTTGGCAAACATTAATAATGATTATTGTACCCTGTGTGGTCCATATTACTATCCTCCCTGCCCAAACTCTTCCAGGAGACAGTGAAACTCCATGGTCTCTGCTAAAACCAGTGGCTGCCAGAACTTGCCCCAAACATTTCTTAAAAGGGAATTTAAATATAATCACTACTTAACTAACATGGAGGTACCTATGAAGTGAAACTTAGTGGAACCACCTTTTATTATCTGAATGGAATTTGGGAGTGTCATTTTCTCTGAGAGTAAAAAACAATTATTTTGGTCTGAAAACATTTATGACCATTCTAGAATTTTGTGATCTTTTTTCCTTCTCTGAATTTTTGCTGCTTAGTTACTTTAACAATGTAAGCCACATGTGCAACAACATGCAATGGAAGCCAAATAAGAAAAGAGTCCACTCCTGATGTTGATCAGTACAAGTATAGAAACACAGCCAAATATTCATTAGTGCTTAGCTGAAAGGCTGCACAGGATGTACCAAGAGCAGGTAGAGCAATGTAAATCTGATGTTAGTTTAAAGAAATGTGTGTGAACAACTGTACAGAACATTTCCCTAGTAGGTTTGTGAATATCACTGGGGTAATACTTGTTCTCTCTGGGAGATCAGTGAAAATCTAGAACAATGCCATTGAATTCAGAAGAGAAAATTCAAATTTCCACCAGTTTCACTTAGTGGTAGAGTCCTCAGTTCCTATTAATATCACCTACCTTCCCAGGAGGTTCAGAACAACTTGGAAGAATTCATCCTTAGAGAAGAACTTGGCTTAATATAATATTTGAGATGGAAAAGTGAAACTTAACAGACCCTTTCCCTGTGTATATTACAAACAGCAGGTCAGAAAATGGAGCCTATTAACTTTCAGTATAAACAGGTCAAGAAATGCCAAGTCCTGGTTAGTGGAAAGGGTAATGCAATTTATGAGCCTTATGATGGATCTTTTGTGCCTCCAGATTTTAACTAGCTCTTATGGAGTCCTCCTGAGTGATGAGAGGTTTTCTGCCACAATCTATCTTAGTGCTGTAAGTTTGCTCAGCAGGGGATTTGGTTGCCACTCCAACATTGTCAGCTTCAGATGAAAAAATACTAGTGTGTGGGGGGGAGTGCTGCAAATCACACTTTTTACATTCCAAAATAATAGCAAATTAACTGGAAAAGTCGTGCTAAATCTCTGAAACTTTGAGACACTCAACAGGCAATAATAACAAACTGCAGGGTGAAACTTCAGTATTCAAAAAGAGATTTTCCTCCACAGCAGTTGCCAAATGTGTGCATGGTTGTGGCATTTCAAGTTTCTCCTCTATCCTTCACCATGGTTCCATTGTACCAGTACCCCTGTCATCTGGGATTCCTAGTTACTACCCTACTTCTCATTTAGGGATTTCTTCATTTCCCCTTGCTATCTGCTTTCAGGATGGCTAGAGGGATTTTTATTATTGATTTAATAGCTATTTGGGTTGGAAGAGTCAACAGATCATCTTATCCATCTACCTCTTCCCCCTCTTCCACAATAGGATAGCACCTTGAGGCCCCAACCAAGATCAAAGCCCCATTGTTGTAGGTGCTACACAGACACAACATGCCACAGAATGTTCCCTGCTGAGCTTACAATTTAAATTGACAAGACTGTAAAGGGTGGAAAAGAGAAAGCATTATGCCCATGCTATAGACAGGGTCTGGGGGACAGAAAGGGAGGACTTGCCGAAGGTGGATTGAATGCAGATGTTTAGTGACTTCACTCAAAGATCATCTCTCATCTTCCAAAGTGATCACATCTAAACATTTTGTTAGTGCTATTATACAGGTTTCCTAATGGAGCAAGCAAAAGAATGGTATGATCGATACCTTCTCTTTTCAGAACTCAGTCATGTCAGCTCTGTGTGAATCTGTTTGACCCCATCCGTGTGCCTGTTCCAACACAGATTCTAAACCCAAATCTCCTACATAATAGACATCAATGCAGTGAGCTTGTTATTAACCTTTATGTTGTATTTTCAAAAGAAATTAAATGTATCTGTCTGCAGATAAGATTCTGCCTGATATAAAACAGAGTAAAAATGTTTTTATGTTCATAACTTTTTAGCTCCAAGAATCTGTTCAGCGTGTTAAAAATGAAACCACTACAGATGGATATTTCTTTCAATTACTGTGAAAGCTTGTAACAAATCCTCTGGCATGCCAAGAACCAGGCATCAAAGTGCTTATATATTCTATTAAGGGTGCTTAATTGCTCACATATTCTATTAAATGGTTCAATATTGTAGCGAGAAGGGCAGGAAAAATACAATGGTTTGTCCCTCCCATCGCCTCCTTTAGATGAGTCAACAGGTCATCTTGAGGATTGACAAGTTGTATTTTTCCTAGTCTCCCCTCAGTACTAAACCACTGAATAAAATTGGTAAGTGTTTGAGCTCTGATGCATAGTTCTTGGCATGCAAAGGATTTCTTACACGTTTTGATGATTTGGAGTGGTTAGTTGGTTATTCCACTCCTCTCCATTGACAAGGCACATGTGATAGAAACTTGGTATACAAGCTTTTGCTTCATTTTGATGTACAGGAATTGATACTACTTTTGGTTGCTTTGTTTCTTCCTGTTACCTCCGAAACTGTCAGTGAAATTAAACACAGATGTAACTAAGAGGATGCAGGTGTCAGCTTTTAGACTGCCAAAAGGACTCTGTCATTTAAATGTTCTCAGTTTCAGCATTATCTTTGGGTCCAGCTGATCCTCACTCAGGGTGAGTTGGGGATGCAAAGAGGGCTTTATAGTGCCTCAGTCCTTGAGCTAGCTGGGGCTACAGTAAGTCAGAGCAATCTCGGACTCTATCTTGTGCTAAACCAGGGAGACATTCAGTAGACAGAGGTCAATGGAGCAGAGCAGCCCTCCATCCATGCTCCTGTGTGAGCTACACCTGCCCCTATACAATTTGAGGATTCCTCTCTGTTGAAGCAATATAAAGGTGCCCAGGATTTAGCCCTTTGATTCCCTGTTTTTCACTTTCAGATGAATCCACACATAAGCTCTAGATGCTTCCTTCCAGAACTCTGAAGATGTTTGAAACGTAAGTCCAAATGTTGTGGCTCTTGTTCATCTTTTCTTTTGGGGCTTTGACACTTCTCTCACTTTACTCCGGTTTTGTCCCTATGTAACTTTAGTGAAGTTACTTC